GTGTGCAGGAGGCTCCGCTGGCCGCGATCCGGGCCTGCCCAGGTGGGCGACTCGGGAGGGGCTCCGAAACGGGAGGTGGGCTCCGGTGTCCCAGCGTTCAGCCCCCGACCCCCTCGCACATCTCCTCTCCAAGCTCCTCCCTGCCCCCTCCTCCAGGCAGGCCTCCCAGCCCACCACCTTCCGTGCTGGGCGCTGCTCCCACCCCAGCGGCTTACTTTTGGGCAACAGAACCCTGCCCCTCGGAGTTTAGAGATCGTCCGTCACCCTGCCTGGATGCGACAGCCCTCACACAGTTATTCAGCCTCTGTGCCGCCCACCCACCCTCTGTCCAATGGGGACCCGAATAGGAACGAACCCTTAGCGTGGCTGTGAGGATTTTACCAGAATGCAGCCCCGCGGTCCCCTAGCAAGCGGCCTGTAAATGTCTGAACCGTTTAAATTAGGTTCCCATCCTTGCCCACTAAACCTGACACCGCGACCCTCCCCTCACGTCCTGAGGCCCCGTGTCCCAGTGGGAGGGCATCACTTTTTTTTAACATGTTTTTTTCCATTGATTTTAGACGGAGTGGCAGGGAGGGGAGAGTCAGAGAGGGAGGAACATCCATGTGAGGGAGAGACATGGATTACTTGCCTCCAACATGCACCCCAACTGGAGTCGGGCATCCCACCTGCCACCACGGTAGGTGCCCCACCTCCCACTGGAACGAACCCAGGATCCTTCGGTCCGAGGGGCCCATGCTCCAACCACTGAGCCAAACCGGCCCGGGAGGGAGGGCATCCCTTTTAAGAGATGACCTGGCTTGGCGGGTGGGCCTGGCAGCATCCACACGCGCTGCTGGACCTGCCCATCTCAGAGGGGCCCGCCGGCCATCCCTGCGGAGGGAAGGGGCCTGGCTGTGGGACAGCACCCACAGGAACTGATGCTCAGGGTCCCCACCTCCCTCCCTCACCCACCCTGGACGCCACGCCAGCCTCTGGGGATTTCCGACCCCTTCAGCCAGAGCTTGCTCTGCTGCTCTGCTGTGGGAACGCCCTGTGATTTGAAGGATGTGGAGCAGCATCCTGGATACCAGTAGCACCCCATCCCCCAGTCATGACAACCCCAAATGTCTCCAGACCTTGCCAGGTGTCCTGAGGGGGTGGGGGGTGGGGACCTGATTCTCCCCGGATGAAGAAAGGCTCTGGGGTGAGTGCGCCTCACCCTGCCCCCCTAAGGTCCTCCAGCAGGGACACTGGTGGGTGGAGGTCTGCACACCTGTGATCTAAGTTCACGTCCGAGTCCTGGTTACATAGGCGGAGCTGCCTCTCCTTCCCAGCCCCCTGGCAAGCTCACTCTACTCCCAAGGCTCCAGCTCCCTCCACGTGACTTCTTAACGCACGGGCGTTGGGTGCGAATTCCCTCCCGTCTTCCCTTTGTTAGCCGAGTGCAACGCCATGGACTCGCCCCAGGTCTTCATGAGGCAGCTGCCAGTCACCCCAGGCTACAGTGGTAAGTGGTGTGGTAAGTGGTGCAGAGACGGGCCTGGCACGAGAGCCGGAGTCCTGGTTCCTGGCCCTGCTCTGGCCCATTGTCCGTGTGTGTCTGGCCGACGGGGCCAGTACAAGTGCTTGGGCTTTTAAGATACGTGGTAAGAGCGCCCCGTTGCTGACGGTGGCTGATCACTGGGCTCTGATAAGTGAGAGCTACAACTTAGGCCAAATCTCCCCGGACGGGACCCGGTGTGCAGGGAGCACTGAGCTAACGTCCACCAAATGCATCCGGACCAGACTGGACACAGTGCTGAGGCCCTGGCCTTCCTCCCCAGCTGGGCTCTCTGGAGTTTTCCGATGGACTGTGCCTACGGTCCCGTTCCTCCTTGTGTCTTCGTGAGGGACGATGACCGGCTGCCCAGAACGGCCCCGCTTTTAGCACGGACAGTCCTGTGTTCCAGGAAATGCCTTGGCACCTGGACAATTGGTCACCCCACCTCTAACAGCAGCCCAGCTTGTCTGAATGGCCTTTAGGGAAATGCAGCGCCCTGGGCCCAGGAAGACATGGCAAGCTCTGGGCCGAGAGTCTGGGCCGCGCTTGCTGAAGGCTTGCTCCCCCCCTCCCACAGGCTTCGTCCCCTACCTGAGCTGCGAGGGCACCTCCAGCGAGGACCACATGTCCCGCTGCCTGCAGGCCTTCCGGGAGAAAACACAGCGCTACAAGGACCAGCAGAAGGAATTCTGCCACGCGGTGGCCATTGCCCCCAAACTGAAGCCCATCTGCCGGGAGGAGACGGTCCTGCGGGCGCTGCACCAGTACTACCAGGAGCACCACCCCCTGCTTCTGGGTACTGGCTCCCCGAAGGCAGCCCCCTTCACCCCTGGGGCCCAACTGCAGGGCCTGGCAGGCCCACGGAGCTGCCTCCGAGCGCTCCAAATGCAGCGCAGCCCAAAGCCCCAGGCGGCAGTGAAAATGGCAAGGCCCAGATTCTTAAAATGAGAAACACCCATTTCCGGGGGAGACAGGTGCAGGTCTGGGGACAGGGTGCTGGGCACCAGGAGCCCCTGAGTAAGACACCACAAAGGTCAGGCCGCTGCTTTCTGGGCCGGCTCTGTGCCAGGCACCATTGTTTCCCACCATCCACAGCAGCCCTGCGAGGGGCGATGCTGTCATTCCCATTTCAGAGACGGGGGAAGTGAGGCTCCGGGAGGGATGTCCCTTGTCTGAGGTCAGACCTGGGTTTGAACGCAGCTCCTCCAGGTCCCAGCTGGGTGGGACAGGGCTTTGCGCTGGTAACCACAGAACCCACTGAGAATAGAATTATGTACCATTAATCATCACAACAGTGATTTGCCCGGGACCATTTTTCAGGGGTAAAGGCTTATAGGGAACGTAATGGACTGATTGTCTTTATTATTATTACTATTGTTTGAGGACTTTCAAGGACACGATTCTTGTGTTTCACAATTGTCTAGGGGGTCCTCAAACTTTTTAAACAGGGGGCCAGTTCACTGTTCCTCAGACCGTTGGAGGGCCAGACTATAGTTTAAAAAAAAACTATGAACAAATTCCTATGCACACAGTGGCGGCAAAAACACCCAGCGGGCCGGATAAATGTTTTCGGCGGGCCGCATGTGGCCCCTGGGCCATAGTTTGAGGACCCCTGGTAAGACATTGCAGAGAGCATTTGCCGAAGAGGTTGTGATTTAGTCCAGCTCTGCAACTATTTGCTGTGGGACCTGAGGCAGGTTGCTTCCCCTCTCCGGGCTCCAATTCTTACATCCAGGGCCTGGAAGGATGGACTAGATGTTCCCTAAGGTGCCTTCCAGCTCTGAGGTTATGGGACTCAGTGGCCTAATTGGATTTTTACAGCCACTGGAGGAGGCTGATGGGCAGTAACCTTTTACCTCACAAATGTGCAAGTGCCCGAGGTCAGCCAGCCAGGCAGTCAAACCTGCAGGCAGGTTCCCGGGACTGACTTACTTCCTCCCTCCCTCCCTCCCTCCCTGCCTCCCTCTCTTCCTTCCACCCCAGCTTTGCTGATATATAATGAGCTATCATGTTGTATAAATTTAAGGTGTACAATGTAATAGTTTGATACATGTCTATATTGCTAAATGATTAACACAATAAAGTCTTCCTTCCTCCTTCCTTCTTTCCTTCCTTCCTTCCTGATTTCAGGGAGAGGAAGGGAGAGGGAGAGAGAGATAGAAACATCAGTGATGAAAGAGAATCATCGACCAGCTGCCTCCTGCATGCCTCACACGGGGGATTGAGCCCACAATTTGGGCAGGTGC